ACAAATCACAAGTTATCTAAACAAAATATTTTTTTTATATATAAATTTTACTATAAGTTCGAATATGAAGCACACCTATCTAAAACTTTTTTTTTACTAAGTAAATTACTTTTAGGCTTGTAACAAAAGTTGTAAAGCTTATCAAGAGATATCTAATGATAGTAAAAACATTAAAATTGGCTTGATAGTTCTTGAAAAATCTTTAAAAAATTAATTTTTTTTTAAAGAAATTTTATATGTAAGAAAGAAGTTTTTTAAAGATTTCTTAAGAACTACTAAGCCAATTTTAATGTTCTTACTACTATTAGATACCTCTTAATAAGCTTTACAATTTTTATTACAAGCCCAAGAGTAATTTACTTAGTAAGAAAAAAAGTTTTAGATAGGTGCGCTCCATATTCAGGTTTATAGTAAAATTTATATATAAAAAAAATATATTTTGTTTAGATGACTTGCAATTTGTCTATTAAATAAATATAATATAATATTATATATAATAAATATAATACGATAAAAAAGGTATAGCAATTTAGTGAAGTTGGTAAGTTGTTATATCCCTAAGCAGCAAGACAAGAGTTTGAATTCTACTAGTAATAAAATTCGAATTTTACAGAATGTATTATAGCAGATTATATATAATCTGATAGATTTATAGATTTGTAGCTTTGTTGTACTAGCTTGTATTAGAAGGCTGTAGAATATTAATATAATATATAAGTTATACAAAATCTGAATAAAGCAGCTAGATAAATCTAAGGGCTGGAGTATACAGAAGCTTACTTAGTACGTTCCAAGTAAAAAGTAGTACAAACTTTCAATAGAGCTATATAAAGAACTATCAATCAAAAAATCAGAAAATTAAACAATACTAAGGTGTTTGGTAAAAGCATTATATCAACTAGACTGCTGAATAATCAAAAAAAAGAATCACACTTTCAGGTTATCTGCATTAAGAGTTTGTAAAAACTAAAAAAATAGTAGATAATTCATATAGTAGATGCTGAGGTTTGGGTGAACTCTGCAAAGGCAGAAATAGATAATAGTAGTGGCTTCAGCTCACAAATACTTGTCTTCAAACTTGGCATAAGTTACCAAAGCTAGGTTAGCTAGATTGTAAATATGGAAAGCTCTAGCAATAATGCTTTAAGGATATATTAGTTCTAAGTAAATAGAAAAAGTTTTCAGGATTTCTTAACTAACAAATCTAATGAAAATATACTGATAATACAAGTGGGTTGCATTACAGAAGATTTAAATAGATAATCTTCTAGTTGGGTTATAGGTATAGCAAATAGTATAGTTCTTATAGTATAATATTGATATACAGACTATTTAAATAAACAATCAAACGTTATATATATAGCTAATTATATTTTCTAATATAATAGGTAGCTCTGTTATAAGCCTCTCTACTCAAATACTTGAATAAAAAATCTTAGCCTCAAAGAGGCTAGTTAACAAAAAATAAAAATAAATATAATAAAAAAAATAATAATAATAAAGCCAAGTTATATAAAGTAAATAGAAAAAGAAAATATTAGAAATAAATAAGTAATATAAATTTAAGTAGCTGCAAATATATAATAAAGAATCTAGTAAATAAATTAGTTAAAACTAAAATAAAAATATAAACAAAAATATAGAAAATTTTTAGAAGAATTAAATAAAAGTGTTGTTAGTTTATTTTAAAAAACAAAATTAAAGCTATTTTTCTAGAAGCTATGATTAGAAAAATTTTGGTAATATTTTATTTGCAAAAAAAAAATATATATAAATGATTAGAAAATAATATTAAAAATTTAAACAAATTGAAAAGAAATAAACAAATTAAAAAAATAAAAGAATTTTGCAAATATTGGCTAAAGAATTTAATTTTTTTTTTTAATCATTAAAGGTGAAGCCATGCCTCTATTTTTATTAAAATTTAATTAAACTTCTTTACAAAAAAGAAATTACATTATTTGAACTCTATATCTAAAGGATACTAAGATTAGAGACTTAGACAGAGCTCATATTGAAGTTATCTGTAACCTAAATCTACTAAAAAATTTAAATTAAAAGTAAAGAAATAAAAAAAAAACTAGTGAAAAATAAATAAAAACTAAAAATAGCTAATAAAACAAAAACAAATAAAAATATAAAGAAAACTATAGAAGGTATTAAAATAAAAAAGTTTTGAAAAGAATTAATAAAGAAACACAATCCAGAATAATTAAAATAAGACAAAATATAGATCTGTAAAAAATAATAAATATAAAAAATATAGAGGTGTAGCAACTTAGTAAAGTTGGTAAGCTGTTATATCCTTAAGTGACAAAACAAGAGTTTGAATCCTACTAGTAATAAAATTTGAATTTTATAAAATGTGTTATAGCAAATTATATATTATCTGCTAGGTTGATATCTATAACTTTGATTATATCAGATTGTACTAAAAGACTATAGAATGTTAAAAATTTTTTTTTTGGTATTTAAGTAGGATCTTGCTTATAACTTTATTTATTGTTAATACTTTCATTACATGTATTACTATATTTTTATATTTATATATATATTAAGTACATCAAACTCAGACTCAGATCCTATTAGTAACCTATGCTCTGGTCGAAACTATTATTTGCATAATAGATATCCCCATCCACTATCTGGCTACTGATCTAATTATTTGCGATCCAAACTTACTGAAGCAGTATGTCCTTATAGATAGCACTCATTTAATATTTTTCACTCTTCACTAGTTCTATTTTGGTATATATCCCTATAACATCATTCTCTGCATCTCTTATGCTACTTATATCTAAACTCCTAAATTTGATAATTCTATTTGAAATATAACCTTGTAGCTTCATAGGCTACCCCTAATCATGGTTATCTTCAGCTAATTTGCTCAGATAGTATTATAAAGAGGAACTTATATTGATCTAAATTAAGTCTCATTATTAACATTTAATTTAGTTAATATGCTGTTAATTCTCATTATCACATTGGGTAGGTATTTCTGTATATTAATGTAGGCTCATCTTGTTACATTATAAGTTACACTATAACTTCTAGATTGCAGGTTTTATATTATTTTTTTTCTATAGTTTGAGCTATAGCATTCTGATGTCCTGATATTTTAGATTACAAGATGCTAGGAGTTTAGATTTAGTTGTAGCTTGTGGTCTATAATACTTTCAATTTCAGTATTTGATGTTTTTTATTAATTTCTGATATACAAACCCAATTTGTACAATTGTACTACCAGCTCAGTGAATCCAATCATTTTGAATTTTTATCACATATTTTGAGTTTTAGCCTTCTCACTTTGTTTTTATAGGTTTCTTCCTTAATAAACCAAGTGACTTGAGACCAGAAATGCTTTTAAACTCTGAATAGACCAATTCTTTATTACAAATTGTTCTTGTATTCATCACTTTTCTCACTACTTCAGTTTTGACTATAAAATATTAATGTGATATATGAGTTATACAAAATTTAAATAAAGCAGCCAAGTAAATTCAGAGGCATAAGACACATAAAAACTTACTTAACAAGTTTCAAGTAGAAAAATAGTACAGACTTTTGATAGTACTATATAAGAGATCATCAATCAGAGAATCAGAAAACTGAATAGGACTGAGGTGTTTAGCAAAAACACTTTATCAACCAGGCTACTAAGTAATCAGAGAAAAAGATCATCCTTCCAAACCATCTAAATTGGAAGTTTGAAGAAATTAAAAATATATAGATAGTTTGTATAGTGGGTACTAGAGTATGAGTAAACTCTACAAAAGCAGAAATAGATAATAATAACAACTTCAGTTTGCAAGTACTTGTCCTCAAACTCAATATAAATTACTGAAATCTAGGTTAGTCAGATTGTAAATATGAAAAGCTTTAACAATAATGCCTTGAGGATAAATTAGTTTTACTGATAACACAAGTAGTTTGTATTATAAAAGGTTTAAATAGATAATCACCTAGTTAAGTTATAGATATAGCATCTAGTATAATCCTTACAATGCAATATCATCACGTAGACTACTTAAATAGATAACCAAAAGTTGCACACGTGGCTAGTTGTACTAAAAAGTCGTCCTAATAGAACACGGTATATTACATATTAGCCAAGCAAAGAAAATAATAATAAAAGGAAAATTTTTGACAACAATAGATAGTCACATTATTTTTTTAAATTCAGATTAGCGGGATTCTAGATAAAATTAGGGGTCGTCTAAAGCCAGATATATGGTAATTTATATGTCTCAAGTGACCTTTACTTTACAAATTTATTATTAATCGACTTAATCAAAAGCGTTTACTAATTTCCCCCAAGTTTATGATTCTGGCCGATCAGAATGCAAAATCAGGTGTAACGTGACGATCAAAAACAACAATCACTTTTTTCGCCTAAGAAATTACCTTTTGGGCACTAACAAAAAAAAAACTCCTTGCAAAATTTTAGTGTAAGGTTGTCTAACCCCAAACCCTAATTTAGGTGTCACATTTTAAATAGAAAGTGATATGTAAATTGGTGTCAGCCAATAGAAACTTGGGGGAAATTAGTAAATGCCTTAAAAACTACCTGGCTTTAGACGATCCCTAAAAATTAGTAAGAAAAAAAGGATGTTTATTCACAATATATACAATAATAATGAGTTAAATTTGATGTTTTCTGTGTAATAATAATAGATTTTTAGAGGTTACATATTCAACCGTTTTGACCGAGTTGAAAACTTTTGACCCGGTTGAACCGTTTTGACACGGGTGACCGGTTTACTATAAACTCTAATGTGAGCAAGATACTTTCCATAAAATCATTTCATCTATATAACTATATAACATAAAAAATGTTAATGCCAATCTTAGAATCCTTGAAATTGTACACATTACGGAGGACCTTCACCTTTCTGTTCTTTCTAGATCCCTCAATAATCCATCGATAAGAGATTCTGTATGATGGTATTGTGATATTATAGTTTCCATGCTTAAGTTAAGATTTGCATCTTCGCCCGGATTGCTGTGTTAAAGCCGAGATCAATCATTTCCATACAATTAAAATAAATAACAGGATATTGAGATACATAATAATTATATTAAAAAGCTTTCACCTGATATCTATGCACATAAGATCATCACCTTTATTTTCCATAGCGTCTAAATACGGAAATAAATTACAATCGCAATGTATATATACATGGCCATAGAAATGAAAAGGTAGAAAATACCTTGATTGAATTTCATTCCATTATGTAATTGCGATATGTATTCCAACTGTTTAAAAAGATCTTCAATGGTCTGCTCACATTTTTGCGCTGTAATAAATGTCGGAAATAAGTTTATTAGATAGCACCACATGCTTATATCAGTACATACCTTCATCTTTAACTTTAGTAACTGCTTGATCATCATCAAATATATATTTCGATGAATGATAAATAGAACGTATTGATCCAAATAAACTAGTTAAGTTGGATGTGATATTTTCATGAGCTTGCCTAAAAGCCATAAAATGCTTCATTAACATTTAAAGTAATAATTACACAATGAGAAATTTATTAAATTGCATACAATAAACTTTCTTTGAATAGTTTGCTTTTTTTTAAAGCCTGTTGCTTTTGTTTTAAGACAACTTTTCGGGAATTGATCGTCGTTTTCAACCTGCTGACAAATAATTAAATATATTTTTCTTTTATAAATAAGAATATTAATATAATAAGCATAAAAATTGTGCCTGTTGATTTCACGTAGATGATGCTCTGATTTTCGCTGCATCAAAGGCCGCGTAGGATTCTGAAAATCTGTTTTTTTAGTAGAGTTTGGAATCATATCTATAATATTAGTCGATTCAGCATCGATTAATAATCTTTATTTTGATTAATTATTCGTTTAAATAATTATCATCATTTGAGTGCTGCCAAGGAAAAATGGGACTTCAAGCTTCCAATTATATAACGTACCGGACAAACCCTTTAAAAAAAATTTGATCAGTGATATACGCACATGAGCTTCAATTACATTTATCGTTAATCAAAATTGTCAGGGGGTTTATCCGGTATGTTTATAATTGGAAGCCCGAAGTCCCATTTTCCCTTGACAGCACCCATTTGAAGAATCAATTAATCGTGATTAAGTTGCATGATGAATATGATGCGCTGACACACAAGATTACATATAATTGGATTTAAAATTAAAATTTCGATTGATTTAGACACGTAAGAATTTCGATAGAATTTCGATTTATCGTTATTTCAGGCAGTTTGGATTGAAATTTCCATTTATTTCGACTAATCAGAAATAAACCGTTAACCAGTCTAAGCAGGATATTCAATTTAATTTATTTAAAGTAAAAATTTTAAACAATTACTTAATATATATAATATTAAATATTAAAGAATCTTGATTTAAATTTTTTTTTTGTTTTTAAGATGGGTTATGTCTCTTAATCCTGGTTATTAACAATTTTGTATTGAATTTTTCTATATTATACTGTATATTGTATTAAGTTTAGACTATTATTTGTAATATAAATCTACTAGAGTAATATATTTGTATTATAGTAATACATATATTTGTATTATATATCTGGATTTTTACTATCTCTAATTAGTACTTATAATAGAGTAATATATAAAGTATATAGTATAGTATAAAATCAAAAGAACAACTTTAAGTTCTCTTATTTTAATATAATACTAAAATTTGATTGGGTAATAAAAATATTATCTGAGAGGAGAGGATAAAGCTCTATAGCAAATAAATATTAGATAATAAATATCAGAGTCTTAACTATATATATAAATATAGTATAGTTAAGATTTTTTAAATTCATAATATACTATAGTGCACTGACTAAAAGACCCAGGGTCTAATACAAAATACCTGTCAAAAAACTTACAAAAGATTCAAATATATTATATAGTAGTGAGTTTGTATTGCAATAAAGATGGATTTTATTTATATATATATTTTATATTTATAATAAGTAGTCTAAAAATTTAAAAAAATAGGGTGTAGCAACTTAGTGTAGTTGGTAAGTTGTTGCACCTCCAAGTGGCAGGTTAAGAGTTTAAATCCTACTGGCGACAAAATTCAAATTTAAGAAATGTGTTATGGTAAACTGTATATAATTTGACAGGTTAGCACCTGTAATCTTGGTCACACCAGCTTGTACTAGGAGGTTGCGAAACAGTAGTATTATATATAAATCACACAAATAAGTAATGCATTATGTAAATCCAGAGAATTAGGCATACAGAAGCCTACTTAGCAAGTCCCAAGTAGAAAGGTAACACAGACTTTTAACAATACTATATAAAAGATTGTCATTAGCAATCAGACACTAATGATAAACTAGACGAGAACCAGGTGTTTGACAAACACTAATACCAACCAGGCTGTGTGTAATACGAAGAAAAAAGATTTAATCAGAATATCAGAGGATGCCCACTGGTCCCTTTCAGGCTATCTAGATTAGAAGTTTGGGGTGTAATTAGTGATCAGGAATGGTGATGATTGTCTGTAAAGTGTGTACTGGGGTCTGAATGAACTCTACAAGGGCAGAAGTAGGTAACACTAGTGGCTTTAGCACGCAAATACTTGTTCTTGGACTCAGCATAAGTTATTGAAGTCTAGATTAGCTAGATTGTGGGTACGGAAAACTCTAGCAAGTTTACTTCGAAGACAAAGGACCTCTATAGGTGGTTTGTCTTAAAGTCCTAAGTCAGAAATCCAAAAATAAAAGGATACTAATGTATTCTCACTCAGTTAGAAGATTAATATACATAGGTGCAGAGAGTTTAAATAGATAACTTGGTAAGATTATAGATACGGCATCTAGTATAGGACTTAGTAATAAGAAACTATTTAAATAGGCAACCAAAAGTTTCAAATGTGGCTAGTTGTATTCTCCAAATATGTGTACAGTATAGTGTATACCATACTGTAAAAGTTAACAATAATTAAATAAAAAGACAGCAACCAAGAAGTTATCTTAAAACCAAACAAAAAAAAATTTAAAAAAATTTATATTTAATTATATAGAGGACCAGATTAATGATGGTCAGACTAAATATACATAGCAGATTATAAAACCCTTCATAGCTATAAGAACTGAGCTTAAAATGGCAAGCCTATCTACAAAAGAATATTTATTCAAATTATTATCAATATTATTCAACTCCTATGATTTAAAAATATACTATACAAATTTTTTATCTATTATCAACTTTTTTTATTAAAAAATTACAAACTATTAACTCTTTTCTTTTATATCTACAATAATACAATGCTAATTATCTTATAAATTATATTTTTATTATTGTTAATAGTAATAAAACAGAGTTATATATATACTTATTATATAAACCTAATATGCTTCCAAATCACTATATTTTATTAATTTATGACTCTTATGATATTTCTCTTAAATTATAATTAAATATACATCTTTTTTCTTTTAATTTTCCTATTTACTTTATAATAACTAACCCTTTACTTAAGCTTAATATTACTATATACAATGTTTAAAAATTTAATATACTTGAAAAAGAATTTTATAAAAAAACCACTTTTTAACAAATAATTTGCATATAATTAGCTTAACTAAAACCAAAATCTCTAATACAAAGGGTGTGGTGATTTAGTGAAGTTGGCAAGTTGTTACACCTCCAAGCAGCAAGACAGAGTTCGAATCCTACTGGCGACGAAAATTCGAATTTATAGAAAATGCATTTGAAAGACTGTATCCTATTAGGTTATAGAACCTGTAATAGTGGTTGTACCAGCTTGTATTGGAAGGTAGTGAAATATGTAGTGTGATGTATAAGTTATACAAAACTCAACTAAAGCTACCAGATAAATCTAGCGAATTTACAGGATATGAGAGCCTGCTTGGCAAGACCCAAGTGGAGAAGTAGCACAGATCTTTGATGATTACTATATAAAGAATGATCAACTGGATACTGAAAAATCAGACGGGACTAAGGTATTGGCAAGGCACTATAGCAACCAGGCTGTCAGATAACTGAGAAAGAGTTTCGCCTTTCTGAGTCATCGAATTTTTCAGAGGTATGAAAAAGAGTCTGTAAAGTAGATACCAGAGTTTGGGTAAACTCTACAAAGGTAGTAGTAGATAACTGTAGCAGCCTCAGCTTATAAGTACTTGTCTTCAGACTCAGCGTAAGTTACCGAAAAGGCCTAGTTTGGAAATGTATAAGACATAAAAAAATTAGGGGGTATATACTACACCCTTCTTAGAGTAATCCAGTAAGTATAAGAACCTTACTGAGTTATCTATCGAATTAAAGCACAAGTAGTATAGCATATGTCAATTTGGGTGGTTTTCAATGAAGCAGCATAAGGTTATGAGTTGGTATAATTAAGGTGGTGGTATAGGATGAGAGATACCAGAGAGTTTAATTGAATAGCTCAAGTAATAGTGTGTTATAGATACAGCATCTAGTATAGACTTTAGTAATAGGTAGCTACTTAATTAGGTACTTAAAAGATGCAAGTATAGCTAGAATATACTCTCATTAACTAAGAATATACTACTAATATACCTAATAAAAATTTGCTCTTTCGTGACATTGCGAAGGTAAAAAAAAAAAAAAATCTCTAATACAATATAAATTAAATTTTGAAATATTTAATATTATATCTATTTTTAGTTTAATTGATGATTCTCCAGTAAATAGGAGAATGATCATAGTATAATGTAACGTGGTTTTATATGTAAATTACTATAGACAGAAATCTGAAAAATTTTTTAAGAAAAATAGTGATTCTTTAAAGAAAACTTTTTTTCGTACTAAGTTAATTGTCTTTGAGCCTTTAAGTAAAGTTGTAGAGCTCATCAAGACGAATCTAACAGTAGTTAGATCATCTAAATCGGCTTGGTAGATGTCAAGATATCTTTAAAAAACCTTTTGCTGACTTTATAAATTTCTTTAAAGAAATTTATAAAGTTGGCAAAAGGTTTTTCAAAGATATCTTGACATCTA